ACGGTAAAGTGCAATGACTGCGCAAACGCAAGACGAGGAGGAAGCTTTAACAGCCGATGAAAGTGTGGGAACTAATAGCGTGGACAAATCATAAAATTTGACAGCAATTAAAAGAACTGATGGTTGTGTGTATGAATGTCTTCATATCATTGCAGACGTTGAACATAATTTGAATTGACGAGAGATAATACACATTCTGATTATGCAATAATGTGATTTAAATCGATCACTTTATTTTGACAGATCACGATAATAGAACTATGCTAGAATAAAAGTTATCTTGATAAACGCAACGGTTAATAAAAGAAATTATGTAGCTCACTATGAGATATGTGGAAGAAATAATGTTGCCAGTGTTGATAAAATAAAATAATGACATTTATATCAAAAGGTGTATTCTTGAAATTCATATATTTTATTTTAGTTTAAAGGGCTTCGAGAAATAATTACCTTCCTGAAACATTTAAAGTAAAAATGTGTTTTATTGAAGACAGTGTATCAGGTCCAACTGTCCAACCAAATCCATCTTACCTATTAAAACGAGTACTAAAAGTTAAATTTAATAGGTATCAACTTAGTTTATACCAGTGGCCCTCTAAAGAAAATGGCAATGACAGAAGAGAAAACGATAAATTGTGACATGATGACTTATTATGGTCGGATAAAGGTTTAAACCTGGATGTAAAGTTAATCCTCATTTTATAATAAGAGGGGTTAAGTTAAACTACAAAAGATTGACATATATTTTTTCCTAATCTATCTTAGCTCTTAAATATAATTATTCTATTTATATACTTGAGACCTCAAATGAATTCAAATTTAAGATGTAAATAAACATAACAGAAAGCAGCAATTTGGGAAACAGTGCATTTAAATTCCGCCGCATGTACCCGTGCCCAAAACACGTAATATTTACGTAACTCACTAAATTATGCGCGTGTCCGCTCAATGCGCACAAGTGAATGATGAGATCAGTATGAAATATAACAATAATAATGACACCTTTAATGAGTATAATAATATATACAATATTATAGCGGGTATATCTAAAATTGTTTTGTAGAAGTTTTGTTTTAATTGTATATCGTAATATTCGTCTTAATGGTAGTTTCAGAGTCCATTCGGCAGAAATGGCTAAGGAAGACCCCTAAATATATATTTTTATTTATTTATTTTATTTAATCTTTTTTGCCAAATTACAACAAATGGCGGACTTAATGCCGAAGGCATTCTCTACCAACCAACCGGTAAGGATAAACAGAAAATTTGTAAGGCATTCACAATGATAGAGAATTAGCATTCAGACATAATTAATATTCATACACATATATAGGTATACATACATATATATTGAGACAAAATCATACATACACACAAATACATATATACGTATATAAATATAGTGAAATATTCATAGATATGTAAATTCAGAAATTCAGAATTAGAAAGTCAGTAAAGGTTGTTACCTTTTAGATAGTATTCTCGCACTTTTCTCTTGAATACTAACCTATTCAGAGCATTTTTACACCCAGGGGTAGTGCATTCCATAGTCGTATAGTAAGTAGTAAGAGAAAAAGATTTGAAAACAAATATAGAATGATGAGCAGGAGTCTGCAGTACAAGAATAGAACTGAAGCGAAGATGTCTTTGATGAGAGGCACCCAAGTACTGAAACCTAGATTTCAGATACTCAGGTGCGCGTGCATCGTATAGAATAGCAAAGAGAGTGTTTACCATTCTTAATTTCTTTCGTTAACGTAGAGGCAGTAATTTAAGGATAGTTACGAAAATCAGAGATTTGGTCGTTATTACGTAGATCAAATATGAAGCGGATAGTGTTATTAAGAAGACGATCAAACTCATCGTGAAATATTTGATTAATGTTAGAGAGACAAACATCTGCATAAAAAAAAGGGGATAAAGAAGGGCCTGTACGAAGGCAGCCCTCGTACTGGACGAGAAAATTCTTTAATCGGTATAATTCGCCAAGAGTCCCATGAACACGGCGAGAGATACTCGCCATATGAAGTCCCAGAAGAGAGTACGGTTTAGGACAAGCCCTAGGCTTCTTACAGTAGAAGTGTAGGGGATCACCACATCATTATATGACACAACGGAACGGCGCTCAGATTTAACCGGGAAATTAGACTGGGGCTTCCTATAATGATGGCCTGACATTTGTTAGGGTTAACTGTTATATCAAAGCTCTGTGACCATTCCCATATTAGCTTGAGATTTTGACTCAGCTGTGTAATAGCCCTATTCAAGTATTCAATCTAGTCTGTATGTCAAGTTACAACAATATGTCTGGTTGATTTTAAACTTTACCATTAAACTATACCTAAATAAAAACGAAGTGAAGAAACCTGTCGTGCTTATGACTGTACTGAAATAAAAGTTTCTAAAATTGACACTATAGATGAATAAAGGCCAAAGTACATTAAAACGTCTCAGCAGCAACACGGCATTGTTTCGAATTTTGATTAACTTTAGCTGCCACCCTGCAAATTACTGTTCGCCCCCAAATTTTCAAGCTCGCACGCCGCGAGATTCAAATTATTGCCAACGATGACGATCTAGCCACTACCTAACAACTTGAAGTTGACAGCCCGCCTTTACTTTTTTATATTCACATTATGAAATATATATTATTTATTACAAACGATTTAAGGTCAAATTTTAATGGTAAATCATTTGCTCTATTGGAAAAAAGGTTATTACTAACATTGTACTGACCATTTACGGTACAATGGGTTAAGGAGCTTTCAAAATATCGCTGAACATTTTAGAATCACAAACAATCTAATGTTGTAATGGTTTCCCAACCGAAATCATGTTACCTATTTTGAAATTAACCACATATCAAAAAGAATGACACCAATTGGAGAACATTTAAACGAGCGATTGTGACGAATGCATACATCTTGTGGTCGGTCATATAAACCTCTAACCACGAATGTTTCACGCGACAAAACACACAACGCCCGCAACAAGAAGCTGTGTTGGTAAACATATTGCATGATTACCATAGACTATACATATTTTTAAGAATTAACATCGATTAATGTAAATGTAATGGAACTTATTGAAATCACTTTTAACTTTTTTAATTTGCTTTTTAAATAACTGTAATTTATGATAATTAGGTAGTTAAAATAATTTTTAAAAAAGTGAAAGGGAAGTGTCTAAAATCGATGAAGTGAAATAAACAGGGATATTATTCAAATACGAAAATAATTGTTTCATATACGCGTATAGTACTATTTCAGTACCTAGTCTAGAATTCCGGTTTCAATTTCTGTTTGAAGTACAAAAAGGCGAATCCTTGGCAAAACCAGCCTTCAAGTCGACTTAGGATTACAAAGTCGATGTCCAGTGACGACAATGTATTCGGCGTTCAGATCAGGGGTCACAAAATTTAGTCGAGGTCTATTCAGGATAGTGCGTTTTATTGTATTCTTTTATTGGCATTATAGAAAATATGAAAAGTCGACCGGCATTGGGCGTAATGATTCCCATGACCTTCCCCCTGGATCCACCTTTGTAAGTAGTCTCTCTCTCTCTCCCCTCTCTCTATCTACCTTTAATAATACTTAGTTGACCGTATTGAATAAATTTTCTAACACTCGCAGATTCTTTTCTAGTCAGCAAGTCTATGGTATAGAAGTTGCGTATAACAATTGTCACCCATGCATGAACACATTATCCGATTCACCGTAGCAACTTTGTTTTCGTTGTAAAATGATTAATGTAATAATCAACTCTATACTTATGATGGTAAGAGCTATATTAAACAGAACTCTGTTGGTTACATGCTCGTCCTTGGCAGTCCTTCACGGATTTTAGGTTTTGTTTAATAATTTTAGAACCATTTTAGGATGAAGAAGCATTTTGTACAGTTTAGACTATTGTTGAATGAATGTTTTCAAAAATGAATGAGTGGCTAGTTTAATGTTATGTGCCAGTATGTTCCATACAAATTATTCACATAACAAATATCGTTTAAAATAACATTATTAAAAATATATATATATATATATATTTAAAATCAATTAGCTCGAGAAATTGATAATAAACAAAATTTAAAACTGACTGTATTATATGTAATGGACAAACCTTACGGCATTCGAAAAATATCATCCAGTATTTTTAATTAAAATGTAACAACCATGATATTCTCAAGGAAGACGAATTAAAAAAAACTTGAGAAATGCAATAAACAAGAAAACAGTAACAGGCAGAACAAAAGATCTAACGCATTCGATGTAGATTGCAGATAGCGCAAAACAAAGCGAACACGACGAATTTACTTGACTTTTTCATGAAGACGTTATACAGTGGGTGGATAAGGTCGTCAATCGTATGGCACGTGATTGTTTAGATCAGTATCTGGTTGCAGATGCTCACATGGGTTCGACGACCAACAACAACAGATTTGTATCGTTAGTAATTAACGCGAGTGTCTTCCGACGTCTTCGCAAAATCAGTGGTCTTCGTTTATATATACGAATACATTACTATCCATTATACCACCAGATACCGTAGACAGAGTAAGCAAAGAGTAAGTAAGAGTAAGTCTACGCCAGATATCCATAATTCTGCTAAACTTCAATTTGTAGTTACATTTATAGTTAGGCAAAATAATTCCTATGAATCATTATATTATAATTAACAGTATTGAAATTGTTGATTGTTTGCAGAAAATATATTATTCTTGTTTAGAACAAGAATATTCTTGCCATGCCTCAAAGAAATTACATTCGAAAATATTTAAATATTCACTACGTAACATTATTTTCTAGAACATCTATAATTTCTTCGTAACATCATATGCGTTACTAGTACCGTATATGAGACACCCGCTATATTAGCGGCAGACTGCCCCGATTCCTGAATGCACAATCGGGTATTATATCTGAGGTCACACAGTTATGCTGCTATTATAAAACAAAGATCGTGGAATCGGGGCCAGAAAGTCTGAAAACTATAATTGCATCGAACTATTCAATTAAGATGTATGTAACTAACCGTTTCCTCCAGTCTTGAATGAAGCTCCAATCGCAGTGTTCATCTTCATCGAGAACCGTTGCTTCATGAGGTTCGTTATTGGAACCGTGTATTAATTCCACCAGTTGACGAGCTCTTTCGAAGTTTCCCTCGAACTCCACTACAAGGAAACCGTCAGAGCTCATTGTCTCAAAGATGTCTTTTTTATATGTCGCATCATTTATTGTTACCACTTCATTCATATCTTTGTTATCCAATAATTTAACTTCAGCGTATATAGCCTCAGGAACTTGGACTTCAGACACCATTTGTGTTCCTCCACCTTTATCGACTTCTCGGCCAAGACCTAAGTTACCAGTTTCGTCCAACAGTCGATTGACGTAAATTACTTCCTCTTTATGCAACACTTCCTCTTTTTGTTTAGCTTCCTTTTTTTGTTCACTGTGTTTACGAATGATTGAATCGCCAAAGTAAATGACAACCTTGTTATTGTTTTGAGTTATTTTGTTTGCTAATCCACCTTCGGCAATGGGCTGATTTGTCTTTTTATGTTTTTCTTGGGAAAGTCTTTGAGCCAATTCTTCATAGCAAGGAGGACGGTTATTATATATTTTCTTATCTGACACCGAGCCCTTATTGATTTCTTCTTTTATCTTCTCAACACTTTTATAGACAGGCGGGCGGCAACAATCGTCGACTTGATTATTCCAAGACTTGGGCTCGCTGTAAATATGTTCCACGGGTGATGAAATCTGTGGCAATGGAATGTATTTTTCATGAACATTTTTTGAACTAGTCATTTCACTTTTCTTAAAATTTAAAACGCTGCGTCTAACTTTTGAATCCGATGCGTCACTGTTGTTTATTTTTTTCAATCGTGAATTTCCGAGAAAATTAAATAGTTGTTTGTGCTCCGATTGGGGCTTGACGCGGTCTGTGCTCGGAGCTTTTCGCATCCCGAAAGGTCCGTCTTCTTCAGTAGTATGAGGATACAGCTGTTCACAGCTAGTAGATTTGTGAGTATTGATACGTGTCTTGGCAGTGGTCAAGGGTTCTCTGCTCTGCCAATGTCGGACTGAGAGCCTGGCCGCCCCGCGAATGAATTTCATGGGCTCCCAGGCTTCGGCCTTTTTGAGAATGAAATTGTCACACATGTTTTTATTGGGGGGTTTTCGAGCGTCAGCTGCGCGGCAGGATTGGAGCTCTCGGCATAGAAAACAAGAGCAACGCGCAGGGCACAGCATGTCGTCGCGCGCGTGCCGGCCGCACTGACGACCGCAACACCGACGTTCCAACGACGAGCATTGTTACCAAAGCCCCGCTACCACGCGACTCCCATGCGCATGTCACGGATTATCTTATACCGTTCACGACCGAAACTCGATCATCTTTAACGACCAGCGATTAAACGGTCGAACGCTGTCCGTTTTATTAATGGATTTGAAGTGCGCCTGCACATTATCAGCTAGTCGGCTAACTGTAATACTTACTCGTAAAACATTAATGCGAATGCGTTGCACATGAGCCTCATCTACATTCAGAGTGAGGTGAACAGAACCATAAGTTGTACTCTAAATATAGAGCACACTTCAAACGGGTGTTATTACGGAATCATTCGAGGGCCCGAGGTAGTTAATGATACGTTGCAGTGGATTGAATTAAATTGCTTTCCTGTGTTTGATTTTGTATGCGGCGAAACTGCAAGGCGTCACTATTTGATTTGTTAGTTATTTTCATGTGAGCAAAAGCGATTTGTTTGTATAAAGTTTGAATTAGGCTAATTATGAAAATCATAAACATTATGTTTGATTTGTAATTAAAAGATTTTCGGTGATAATCTAATTCATCTCGATCAAACTAGTTTATAAAACTTTATAAAATAAATGGGCATGATGTATGTCAGTTTATATAAAAACAAAAACTAAATTTAACAATTGGAAAGGACTGCTGAAGTCATTGTTTATCAATATATATATTTTATACATATATTTTGTATTAAGTCTAGTAAACAAAAAAAAATTGAATCTAAAATAAAACAACATAAAAGTTGATTTGAGGAAATGTTTCAAACAAATCTAAAAATTAACATTTAGTTTAATAATTGACTAACATGTTAACGGAAATCTTATCGATTCGATCAATAGCGAGTGACATGAACATTAACTCCAAGCGTCTATTTGGAGCGAGTAGCTATCATCACTTGCATATTTGTCACATATGAATATAATATATATAATATACATATAATTGAATGGAAGTATAATGGAATTTAAAAGGCTATAAATAGATACTACCATTTGTGATTAAATCGTACAAATATATAGCCTACTAGTTATGTTTCCGCGATTTCGTACGAGTAAATTGTAATAATACTAAAGATTTAATAATACTAAAATTCTAAAGAGCAAAAATTTAATTGATTGTTGGTTTGTTTATTCCGAAACTACTGGATTAATTATAAAATTCGTTCACCCACGGGAAGCTACATTATAAGCGCATGATACAGGCTATTAATTAATTTAGTAAATTTCAAGGTTGAAAGTTTACTTATAGCCATCCATAAAATTAACTCACTTTAAAAAACATTCTGCAGGTATATCCAAGAATCTTTTCTAAAAAAACGAAATAAATATACTTTTAAATGACTGCTTAGAAGTGAAGATCGACAAGAATCGACGTCTTTATTTTTTTTTTTATAATTTCTTAAAAGGAGTGTTAATGTGGAATTTGCATAAGATAGTGGTGTGCGACGCAACGGCGTGCACAACGATAGGCGGAAGAGGAGACTGGGCAATTCAGGCGTCAGCTCATCACGACATACAGTAAACCTATATCAAGCAAATCCCGCCTTTCTTAAAAAGTAAGAGATATACGAATGAGCGTTTTTCTTAAATATGCAATCTAGGTGTTTTATAAATTTATTTTGTATGCGTTCAAGACGATTAATGTGCAGAGCATAACGAGGTGACCACATAGGACTTGCATATTCCAAAAAATACGAGTACATAGGTGTAATATACAATGTTGTCGCTAATTAGGTTCTCATTACAAATCCGAGGCAACGTTACGCCTTATCAGCAATACCATCAATGTGGCCGTTTATAGACATTTTTGAGTCGAGCATGACACCAAGGTCCTGCACCACATATACTCTTTTTATGACAACACCGTTAAAATTATATGAGTATTTCAAAGGGTTAGGTTTACGGCTGAAAGTTATACATTGACACTTGTCATAGCTTACAGGATTTTTGTTTTTAGTATAATAATTAAACAAAATTATTCAGGTCTTGTTGGAGACCTATACAGTCTTCTGGAGATTGAATATAGATATATATATATATATATATATTTTATCATTAGCATAAATTATGCATTTGACTCTCTGAAAACATGTCTATATGTTTAATATATAAAAGTTGTAAAATAAAGAACCCACATGCGAGCCATTAGGTACACCCGATGGTACGGATATATAATCAGAACTATGTCCGCCCAGTGTAACTGCCTGTGAACGATTTGTGAGATGAGAAGTTATCTAACGAAGTTAACCACCATTAATACCAAGCGCAAATAATTTATTATAGGTCGACAATTTTTTATATCCACCTTTTTTACCCTTTTTTGTGTATGGTAATTATTGAGCTTGTTTCCACATATTTGGGAAAACTCATTTCAAAAACTGTTTCGGGTAATATTTCAACTGTCGTTAGAACATCCACGTTATTGTATCGAATGTCAACAGTAAACAGATAATTTGCATTGTTGAGTATAAACTGAGATCTTTTAGATTTTATATATTTTCAAAAATGTTTCAAGTTCCCTAAAATGAGATGCTCAATTTTTTTTTGCAAAGTGTCGGAACCATTGATTTTGAACCAAGCGTTAACGTGATCAAAGTAACTTAAAAATGTCATAGACTCTTAAATTTCGACAAGTATTTTATATTCTATGAAATTTGTACTTTTCACAAATAATCTTTCATAATACGAGCTTTCATAATACATTCCGGGAGTGAGTTCCAAAGTCGCATAGCATGCACAGAAAAGGAGTAGGAAACAAAGTCTTTAGAGTCCCCACTCTCTCAAGAGTGAGATTGGTAGCGGAACGCAATGACCATTGTGTAGTGGAAGAGCGGAAGAGAGGAACTTCGTAGTTACTCTCACGGAAGTTAAAGCGTGTCCGATGTTTTTCTCTTTATGGTGCGAATTTCAGATCATGAATTTCAATAGAGAATGGACGGTGGAATGTATCAAGTTTAGACAGAGTAAAAGTTTATCTAACCGTTTACTCCAAGTTACTTAAGCATAGATGAAGTATGTGACTACAACAATTAATAATTTGATTGAATTGCTTAAAATCTAAAAATCTAAAAAGTACATTTCATCTACGAATGCTATCGCGGACAGCTAGGTTTCAGTTTTTTTCCTATATACTAAACACGAGTATCCCTCAGTTGACAACTGCATACCAATGCAAGTTAAAGTCTCCCAACAAAATATAATTATTGGATGTATTATGCTCACAAAATTATGCAATAATTTGTTTGAGACATTCTAACCGTTGACAAAGGAAATCTTCTTGAGGTGGCAAGTAATTAAAAATAATGTTCAAGTTACTACTTGAGCCCAGTTTCCCCCCTGGTACCTTTATGGAAAGAGAATCGGAGCAATTACTCACCCATTAATTCCTAAGCGTGGCGCATAGATTACGATGGACACATACCTTCACACCACCTCCTGTTTTTTTTTTTTTATGTATAGCGGCAAGATCTCGATCACAACGAAAAATGTGATCGTCGTATCTACTGTAGTACTATAGTAGGTTATAATTTACGGAGGCGAAGTCTAAGAATAAAACGACCTTTGAAAATATAAAAACTTTTTCTAAAAATCTTTATCGTCCCATCTGGTCGCACGGTGTTGCATATTATAATTAAGAGTCGAGTAACAGTTACTTTCATTGCATAAAACACAATAATCGGTATTGTTCTGGTGTCCCATCCCAGAGAGAAAGCATCAAAGCTCGCGTCACTATTGTTGTTCGCGTGGAAACTGTGAAAACACGGAGTTAATTGTTGATATAGTGTTTAAACGTGAGCAAATGTGACTCGTTTTCTTTGCAGCGAAAGTGCTGTGTATAAAAAAATTAGTAATATTTTAGGATCCAGTAAAAACAGTGGTAATAGGATTTATTGATATACTTCTGTCATATTTGTCTCTACCTTCCCTTGGTACATACATATTTTGTACCAAGTTATTAAAGAAACCTAAAAACCTTACTCCTCATTCCTGAGCTCTATCTCTTGAATTGCACTAAATAGATGAACATTTAACATTTTTACATACAACATGTGAAGGTCTCTATCAAAACCAACAGAACAAAAAAAAATACTGATTCAATTCAGAATCCTTTGCAGTTCGGCTAGCACTTGGCCGATTCATTGTTATCAAAGTATTGTCGCCTAATACGGCTGTTTTTAATCACTAGAGAACCTGATCATTTATGTTTTCTTTTTCTATAAGGTATCGTACCAAAGAGGTGGATTTTAAGATTAGACATTTTGTTGTTTGGAGCCCTATCAACTCGATTCTAACATGGTGTCATTTTGTAAAATAAAACGTTTAAGAAATATACATTATAATAGAACGTAGTCTCCAAATTTCAGGATTTCCAATAAGAGAAAAAAAGTATTTTCGACCTTAGCGCTAGTGTGCAAAAGTCAACAGGTCAGTCAATGAGACAGATAAGGACAAGTGATTTAAAGCGTCAAATTTTATTATAAACTAGTTTTATGTATGAAAGGGGTTTGAATTTAATGGTGTAAAAACACCAAACCAAAAATATTTTAAACCACCTTCCAAAGATCTATGTTGGTTTTTATATACATAGGAATCAGGTTTTATACTACGTTAATTTTTAAGTAAATATAAAAAATAATGACCTTTTCTCTCGCTTACACTTAACCAATATTTGTAGGTAACAAGTTATTTTTCTAATTTATTGATGATTTGTTGTGATCCAAATTTGACTTGCTGTCTAATTGATTTGCGAGTTTACAAATATTTATGTTTTTTGATACGATTTCAGGTTATGAACTTTTTAAATCTATATCTCTTTTTTAGATGTAATTAAAAATTAACCGTTTTGGATTCAAAAATATTCCATAAGAATTTTATTACCATTAAAAATATTATTAGCGAAATCTACGAGTATAAGACCGTTGTATAACGGACGTTTAAAA